ACCTAAAAATTTTTTGGAATTTCCACGGTTATCAAAAAAAAAAAATAGATACTTGTTAATATGTTATGATTATAAGACGCTAGCAGAATAACAAAAAATCCCTAGAAATTAAGTCTAAAAGTGGGAAACAAAACCCTATGAAAAGAAAACATACCGAAGCAAAATCCTATACAAGGGAAACATATAAAAGTTGAAACCAAGAATTAAGATTGAAAGAAATTAAAATGATTTAATCCGAAACTAGACAATTGCATCAAACTAACAAGAATTCTTCACTTCTGAAAATCTTTTCACATGGATTTACCGAAAATGTATGCTACCAACGATAGTCGATTCCTCCTATAAAGATGATTAACTGCCATACAATTCTAAATATCGTAGACTTTCATTTTTCGGCAAGATTGATGTTTGTTGTTCTAAAATATTTGAAATGTTTTCAGTTTTGGGTAAATAGGTAAGTTCGAAATATTTTGAAAAATTAACATTAAAATGTTAATTATCATTTCTTTGTTTGAAAAATTTGTTTTGTTTTTGGGTCAGAAATGGGCCATTTAACCGAAGAATGTGAAACAAAAATAGAATATTGACAAAGTTTAATGCATAATAGATTTTTGTTTCGCGTCAAACGCGGGATTAAAATATTAAAAAAATAAAAAATCATAACTTTATATAATATACCGAAAAATTAAAAACATAAAAGATTAAATGGTATATCTCCTATATAGATAAATATATTTTACTTTATAAGATTTAATCTACATGATATTTAGATTGAATGTAAGCGTTTTTAATTTTAATTGAATACGTTTGAGATTATCGGTTCTTTCAAACTTATTTGAGCTCACTAAACCCAAAACATATCACGTTACTATGTAAATCTTCTTAAATAAAAAATCCAAAAAAAATAATAAAAAGTGAAAATAATGATTTCCAAAATTCAAAATTTGATGTTTGACTTGTAAAGTTGTACGTTTATAACAAAAACGCAACTTTAATTAGAGCAATATTGATACAATTTAAACGATATAAAATAAAATAATTGTATGATCAATCACATATGGTATCCAAATAAAAATAAATACAATTTTTATAAAGTAATTAACATGAATAAATGATTCATCGTTAAAACATTATGTTATATAACGTTTAAATATTGAAAAGTTATATTTTAATTGAATTTAAATTAATAACATATGTATTTGTGAGATCATGTTGAATACGTAGAGATTTTCAACATGGCATATAAAATTAATTAGAATGTTTTGATTGGTTAATTTGATTGATGTATTCTTTAAAATCCGCATTGAGTGACACACAAATTTTTTTCACTTAGAGCAACTCTAATGGTTTTCTTAAAATCCACATTGAGTGACACATAATTTTTTTTCACTTAGAGCAACCTTAGAAAATTTCTTATATATATTATAATAATAAGTGAAATACAATTTAGTTATTGATTTAAATTTTAAAGTATAAAAATAAACTAAACCAATTTGATGCTAACATGTGTCTAGTGAGTTTTAAAAAAAAAATTGAGAGGTTCTAAAATAAGAATCCATCTTTTTTCTCTTTCGAATTCGTTTATTATTTTTTTTATTGGGTAAAAACCTATGAAAAACGCTCATTGTGGTTTTTAGAGCATCTCCATCAATATTATCTAAAAAATATTAAAATATAAATAATAATATAATATTAATGAGAGATACCTACATAATATTATACTATTATTTATATTTTAATGGAGATGCTCTTAGTGTAGTGTCTAATATATGGAGGATAATCGAATTCCTCGATAAACTAGTCTTAAAGGCCCATTTCGATAGGAGAGTAACAATAATAAGGCCCAAAGAATATGAAACAAGAGCTTCTAACTTAAAGAGAAGGTTTACTTTTAGTGGCGTTTTCTTCAACCTCTGCATCTGTCGCTTTGTCTCCTGACTTCTTCTTCTCGGTGACTCTGGTCGTCAATAGTGTCGTAATCTTTCTGGGTAAGCTTATCAATTTTGCATTATATTGATGTGTATCTATACGCTTTAATCAAGATACATAATCTATGATAATTCGAGAGCATAATCTATGACATTTACTTGGAAAGAAAAAATTTGGGTAGATTCAAGTAATAGTTTGATTTGAAATGGGTTTTTGGGGAAGATGATTATTACATGTGACAATGATTTATAAAAAAGGGTTTTTTTTTTTTTTTTAAATCAGTGATGAACGAGAAGAACCATCTGTGTACAATCAGGATTTTATGTCGGAAAATCTCTCTAAGCAGAATTGTCTGAAGAATGCAAAGTGTGCTTCTTCT